TGTGTGCTGTGTACACGGCACATCACATGAGCCTGTGCCATCCTCGGGACAACCTTAGAAGGTAGACATGACTTCCACTAGTCTTCCAGGTCTGCTTGAGGCTCAGAGTTGTTAAGCACAGAGTTTACGGTCACACAGCAAGCATACAACGCTGCCTGGTTTGCGCTGGATCTGTATGACTACAGGCCGGTGCTGTCTGGAGCCCCTTCCATATTGAGACCTAGTTTGAGGTGAGGGACTTGCCCACTGATTGCACTTTGATAGAGGGCGTGGCCATTTTCTACCTTTCTGCTAAGTGCCAGAACTTTGGAAGGCATCTGTGTATGTTCTCATCACCCCTGCCAGCCACCCAAGGAGCATTCAGAGGCTTGCCCAGGACTGGGCAGTGCAGATGCCCAATCTGCCCACCCCAGCTTTGAATCTGCATGGCTTAGTGTCAGACATTGTTGCTCCAGCTGAACTCTAGAAAGACCCATACCACACCCCTGGATGGGGCCAGAGCTACTGGCTGCGAGGTTGTCGGGCAGAGACTGTCCCTGCTGTCAACAACAAGGGTGACTTCGAAGGTCTGCACTGTTGCACCTCCCAGAAATCCCCCTCTCTGACTGGCTCTTAAGTTTCTAGACGGACCTCACTAACCAGGGTCCTTGGCTGTGTGTGGGAGGAAAGTGTTTATCCCTGGTGTGATTTGGGAGCCTCATCCTAGCCAAATGCCCTTGTCTGAATCTGGTCCTGGTGGCAGCAGCTGAGAGCTGTGTTCACAGCTGCAGCTCAGCAGCTATGATGGGATGGATGTTCCATGGTGAAGTGCCAGAAAGGCTGGGCCCGGGGCAGGATGGGGTGCATGCCAACAGTTTTAGCAAAGGTGGTGAGTGACCAAGTCCTCTGGCTGCTGCAGAGAAGGGGTCTGCAAACAGGCTCAGGCCTCAGTGCTAAGCTGTGTGCACTGAGGGTGATGGCTGCCTGGAGCCAGCTTGTCTACCAGAAATGGGGACAGTAAGGTGAGGATTCACCTTAAAAGCCAGCTGCAGTTGCTGAGACACCTCCATCGTGGGGGATGCAGAGTGGGGGACTGTGACTTGCAGCAGGACCAGCACAGAGATGAACAGTGCATTGGGTTTGGGCCTGGCAGGATTGATCTCTCCCTTCAATTTTCTGCCATTGATTGCCTCTGCTGAAGTGACTGAATTCAGTTTCCTATTGACATGCCCAGAGCCTTGGCTCTCCTGATAACTCCGGTCCCCTGTGTCCCTGGGCCCAGCAAAGCAGGTGCTGGAGGCACATCAGGACACCCGTTGCCCTTGCTTTTTAAGTGTCTTCACTCTGTGTGGAGAACACGTCCATCCTACCCACCACCACTCTGGTTTTCTTTGCCTCTCATCAAGTCTCTGGCCTCAGTGTGTGTAAGGGGGAAGCAGAGTGCTTATCCCTCATTCTCTGAGGGAAGTTGGGTTGTGTAATCAAGATTAAACAAATATGTCAGCCTAGGGCCATTGGGTGAGTGCTATCTGAAAGCCCAGTGGTATCTGCAGGGAACTTATCCTAAAGTTGCAGAGGCTGAATCTCCCCATCTCCCTGCCTACCTACCTGCCCACATCATCAGACTGGGCTCTAGAAACACCTGCTGAGGCTCCCGGACTGTTTGATGAGAAGATGCAATGGATAGGTAAGACTGTGCCCAGAGCAGAGCAGGAGAGAAATAGTCACCCAAGGTCACAGTACACTTGAGTACTCTGAAGGCTTTGATCTGTGGTCCTATTAATGCTTCCTGGAGAATTCAGCAGATGCAAGGGACCTTGGTCTTTAGGCACTGGAGGAAGCTGTAGCCCATGTTCATTGGCCTGCCCAAGGCTGCATGTGTGTGCTACCCCTGCTCATGGCTCACATTGGGCACCTGCTTGCTTGGATTTCATCTTCTAAACTCCTATATGTCTCTAATCGGTAGTTCTTCTTATTGCATTGATTCCAAAGAGAGCTGCCTCTCCAAAGCCCCCCTGCCCTGCAGGCAGTACTGGCTGGCCGAAGGCTGGTCTGCTGGAAGCCTGTGCATAGCCCCTTCTCACCTTGGGTCATGCCATGTGGTCTGAGGCTCCTGGACTGGCATTCAGGACTATCCAGCTGAGTCCCAGGACATGGACAGCACATGAACCAACCCTTCACACAGTGGCTGCCCAACCTTGGCACCCTGAGCTGCCACTACTGCTGTCCTCTGCTTTCTCCACAGCAACCAATTCCCTGCTCTGCCCACAGCACTGCCTTCTGCCTTTCCAAGAGCCATCTCTGTGGACATCACTGCCGCCCACAGCTCCTGGTGCTGGGGCATGTGCTGGCCTTCGTATGCTCCTTGTCGGAGTGGCTCCACGGTGACAGTAGAGAGATGCCAGTCACTCTGAGGGGTCTGCAGAGAGTATGAGCGGGTAGAGAAAAGACTGAGTGAGCACTGGATGGGGCGCTTGGCCTGCTGCTCTCTTGTGTCACTCCAGAGCCTCTTAGGAGCCCTTCCTGCAGCCCTTCTGCCCAGGCCCCTGTTGCTTTACTGTGAGAATGGAAGGGAGAATGCAGGGCAAGTACTACAGACTAAGCAACCCCTGGGGTTTGCTGGGTGTGTGGTGACTGCCCTGTCTGTTAGTAAAAGCCTATCCCAAGCCGAAAGGTCTGTAACCACCAGGATTGCACCCCAGCTTCTGGGTTTGAGTGCAGTCACCCCAGTAGCTGGACTGGGGAGGAGGGAGCATTGTGGGCAGGCAGAACAGCAGGTACCTGTGACTGACTGTAGGGTGTGTGGAAAAGCATGGAGTCTTGCTGCAGCCCAGACGTGGAATGTGTGCCTTACCAACCTGAGGCTGTAGTGGCCCTGACACTTGTGTGGAGTCCAAAAGGGGGTTCTGTCTGCCCTGACCCTCCATCGGCCCATTTCTGAAAAAGGTTGTTGGAGAAGCTAATCCCTGAAGGTAACTAACATCTAGCAGACAGCAGCTTGCCTTTATGGAGGACCTGATTTGACCAGGCTTCTGATGGGCGTGTAAGGTGTGATGGAAGCCCTGCCCCTGGGTCCACACCTGCCACAACCACACCCTTTCTCTCCTCTCTGCTCTCCTTCAAACATACACCATAGGACCAAAACACCTTTGAAGAGCAGGTTCTACGTATTATTTAAATGTTCAAAGCAAATATAGGGAGTGTTTTTATTTCTGTGTGGAAAATTTCTTAGGACCTTCGTATCTCCTCTGCCTTCAAGACATACTCAGACTCTGGCCCCTTCTCGCCACCTGCTGGCCTCTCTCCCATCTGAGCTTGTGTTTCTGCAGGCCTGTCCCAGCTGTGGCTCTCCCAGCAGCCCATCCTGCCCGGTCTCCAGGGTAGTCTCTCAGCTCTGAACTGCCTGGAGTTCTCCTCCCTAAGCTCCCCATTCCTTCACTGCCTTTGGTGTTCTCTGCCCCAGTCACCCATCCGAGAGGCTCTCGTGCAAATCCCAGGGCGGGCTCTCACTCGCTGTTCTCTGCAGTGTATTCCCGCCAGTGCAGTCAGACTTATCAGAGGGGACAGTTATATCCCCACTGGTGCATAGTAGGATCCTTGCTGTATGCTTGCTAAGCAATTAGTTGACAGCAGACCCTGAAGGGTTGTTTGTTTTGCTTTGCTTTTTTAACTCTGTCTTGCTCCTTGACATGGCATCACCTTTGGCAGGTGGGTGCCTTCTGTCTGAAGAGGCCTGCTTCCCTCCTCAGCCTTGAGAGGGGCCCCGATGGTTCTTTTCCTTTGCTCTGCCACCCGTCCGCCTCAGGGTTAACCAAACCCTCCACCGCCATCCCCGAGAGGACCACAGCACAGGGCACGCTGGGCTGAGCGTGGGAGGAGTGTCCCCACAGTGGCCTGTCATTCTCCTCAGAATGCACTGCGGTGGCCTGCTCTGAAAATGGCCTCGGCTGCTGTAGTAAATGCAGGACTCCTCCCTGTGGTGATCACCCACCTGCCACCTCCCTTGGAGTGGAAAGAGGAAGGAGGGGAAGACTACTCCCACTCCATTCTGGGCCACCTGGGTTATGACCAATGGCTATGTTCTCCTAAAAGGCCCTCAGAACAAATCTCCTTAGAAATGAATACTCAGAACGTACAATCTAGAAAAGCTAACCACCTGACTATCAGAGAAGGGAGGAAGCCGGAGTCCTGACTGGAACAGCTCTGGGGCTGTGAGGTTGTGGTCAGTTACAGACACTAGCCATCTGGCCGTATTTGACCCACACGGCCTCCCATCAGTGATGGGAGTTTACTGCGCCCTTGCGCAGACAAGAAAATCAGGTGGAGAGACTGACAGGGTTGTCACTGTTGCCGGGAGCCTGGGACTGAAGGCTGCTTTAGGGACTCCAGAAGAATGTGTGCGCCCCATATCCCTACCTCTCTGTGAGGACAGATTTGTTTGTTTGTTTTTGTTTTTTCGAGGCAGGGTTTCTCAGTATTGTTTTGGAGCCTGTCCTGGAACTAACTCTGTAGACCAGGCTGGTCTCGAACTCACAGAGATCCTCCTGCCTCTGCCTCCCGAGTGCTGGGATTAAAGGCGTGTGCCACTAGTGTCCGACCTGTGAACACAATTTTTAAGGAAAGCAGTCAACACGCCGGCTCCTCCCCACCGCACTCCCACTCCTGTTCCTCAAAGAACCCTGGCACTCTGCAGCTCAGATATAGTCCTGGAGGCAGCTTCTTGGCTTGGAGGTGGTTTTCTGGGGATGCAAAGGTCACCTGACCCCAAGCCAGGCGATGATAAGCTGGGTGTGCAGAGGGAACTCTCTTCAGTGCCCACCCAGCGTTAAACCTTGGCTTGCTCATCTGTGAAGCGTGTGCAGTGACTTGCCATGGATCCCTACAGGGGTACAGGAACTCCTTAGGTCTAGGCAGGAACTTTCTAAAAGATGTCCATGCCCAGTCTAAAGTGGAATTTATGGTTAATAAAATCCTTGACCACAGGAGCACCTAGCGCTGACGGGCTTTCTCTCTGCCCACAGACTCCAGCCCTCCTGCACGCCTCCTGTCCACCCGGCCTTGCTATGGCCCTGGTCCTGAGAGGCGAGCGGTCCTGGGCGAGGCACCACGCTTCCACGCGCAGGCCAAGGGCAAGAACGTGCGGTTGGACGGCCACTCGCGCAGGGCTACACGGCGCAACAGTTTCTGCAACGGAGTCACCTTCACACAGAGGCCCATCCGCCTGTATGAGCAGGTGCGCCTGCGCTTGGTGGCCGTGCGTCCTGGCTGGAGCGGTGCCCTGCGCTTTGGCTTCACTGCGCATGACCCGTCGCTCATGAGCGCACAGGACATCCCCAAGTACGCCTGCCCGGACCTGGTCACAAGGCCTGGATACTGGGCCAAGGCGCTGCCTGAGAACCTGGCTCTGCGGGACACGGTGCTGGCCTACTGGGCCGATCGCCATGGCCGCGTCTTCTACAGTGTCAACGATGGTGAGCCGGTGCTGTTCCACTGTGGCGTGGCCGTGGGAGGCCCACTCTGGGCACTCATTGACGTCTATGGCATCACTGATGAGGTGCAGCTGCTGGGTAGGTCGGTTGGCACAGCCTGTGCATCCACAGCGTTCACAGTCCCCCCGCCCCGGGTGGGGTGCGGGCTCGGCTCACCTGCGGGCACCCGGCTGCCCAGTGTATCCCCATGTGTCTTCCATGTGTCTTGACTCTCACAAAAGCAATGATGTTCAACTTCCGGAGGAGGAAACTGAGGCACAGAGAGTTACTTTTGTTACAGAATTGGGGGAGAACCCATGTGGGCGGGGCCCAGGGTCCTTTTGTTACAGAATTGGGAGAGAACCCATGTGGGCGGGGCCCACAGTCCACGCCTTGGCTAGCCAGTTTGTCACTCTTAGACCACTGCTCACTCACCCATTCACCCCCTTTTCACGCCTTTGTTCATTTGTCCATGGACCACCCCCCAGTCCCGGCATGCATTTCCTCTGCTGGCTCCTATTCATCTAGTGGGCAGTCAGGTGCAGCAGCCAGAGCCAGGCTAACTGCAGAGGAGCTCAAGGTGCATTGGGGAGGCCCCCATAGTGCTGAAATTCTGACTGGATGCCTACAATGTAAACGTTTTCTCCCATCATCTTGAGACAGTGTGTCATATATACACGTATGTTTATGTGTATATAAATGTGTATGGCCCACCCTACTGCTGAGCATGGAGGAAAGATGCACACACACACACACACACACACACACCATCACCTGACCCAAATATTCCTATGTCAACCTAGTCATATGGCTACAAGGACTGCCTAACATCATATGTGTACAAGGACGGCCTAAGAACATATGTGTGTGTGTGTTACTTTAAAGAAAACTGGTGTAGAGTTTGGCCAGGAGTAGGGTGGTGCATGCCTTTAATTCCAACACTTGGGAGGCAAAAGCAGGTGGGTCCTTATGAGTTTGAGGTCAGCCTGGTCTATGGAATGAGGTCCATGCCAGCTAGGCTATATATATATATATATATGAGCCTGTTTCAAAAAAAAAAAAGGATATAGAATTAACACAAACAGGAAACAGCAAAGTAGCCATTTTAAAAGGCATAGTTGAATGACCTTGAGTTGGTGCCCATTTCCTCTGGTTCCATAGTAGTTACTCTTCCCAAAGGACAACAGACCCTTAGGCCATTCTCTGCCCCCCCCCTTAATGGCAGTCACATGTTCTCTTCAGCAGCTGCAGTTAAAAACCCAGCCTAGACTTGGAAGGTGTGAAGGGAGAGTAGGTTTCTCAGGGAAGCTGGACACAGCCCTGTCTGTAATTTACCTGCAAGGAAAAATATGGAGGGCAAAAAGTGAGTGGATGGACGGATAGACAGCTTTCCCTACCCATCTGTAGCCTTAAGCTCCTCCCTCCCGAGGTTCTTCTTGGCTCTTTGAGCTTTCTGCATAGCCTGTTTCTTAATGCCCTGTGACTATACGGATGCACACCCCAGAAATTGCTGCTGATTGCTTCTTTTTGATGGGAAGATGGTTTATACAGCTAAATGTTTGGGCTGTTTCTGGTTTGTCTGCCCATCCCCCACACCATGGGGGGGCAGATTCAGACTCTCCTCTGTCCCCAGAAATAATGACGCTGAAGAGGTCCTAAGTGGTTAGAGCAGACAGGGACGTGAGAGTCATGGAGACTTGTGCCTAGACGTGGCTCTCCGCATACCCTCTGTGTGGAATCGGCACTGAGACAGACACTGTCTGAGCCTCAGTTCTTCTTACCTGTAAAGCAGGTGCACAATGGCGGCGCCAGCACCACAAGCAACTCCAAGGTATCAGGGAAAGAGAGACCAGACGTCCACTTGTTTGTACTAAGAGAATGCATGTGCTGCCTTTATTGCCAGGAGAGTGTGTGCGTGTGCGTGTGCGTGTGCGTGTGCGTGTGTGTGTGTGTGTGTGTGTGTCTTTATTGCAAGTGCTAACAGGTTTCCCTCTTGTAAGAGGGAGGAGCTTTATATACAGGTTTACAGCATAGTGGAAAAACCCCAGGTAGAAGAGATCCTTGTTTTCCTTCTGCTGAATGTTGATGTCAGAGGGTCAAGGCCAGGGCAGTAAGCCAGGACTAGAAAACAGAAAGCACTTGGACTGGAAAACAAGTTGCACTTGTAGGCTGACCAGCAACTCACAGAGACCCCATGGGGTTGGGGCCCAACACACGATGGCACCCACTGCATGGGATTATTGGCAGGGTTATAGGAAACAAACAGTGTCTGGAGGGGTGCGTGGGCCTGAAACACTGACAGCACTTGACCCCCAGCTGGGGAGCAAGGACCTCTGCTGGCTTGAATGAATGTGCCCCAGGTTTGTGCGGATCAGATTGGACAGCACTGCTCGACTCTGGGGCCTTACTTGGGTATTCTAACCACATCCCTGCCCACCCTTACCCTTCAAGGTTTTCCATGAAATCTCCAAGAACTGCAGCCTTCCTAAACCTTCCCAGTCTCCCACCACTTTATCCCTGTGGAGCTAGGAAGCAATCTCCCCTGGCTCCCCAACCCACATCTCTGTGAGCAGACAGGAAACCATAGCCACACATGAACAGTGCAAATGGGCTAGGAATTTTTAAAAATACAGATTGGAGGCTGGCCTTGATGATTAAATGAGGCTGAAAACACCTAGAGGATACTCGGAACCCCTCCTTTCATTCTCTTACTCAGCAAACTTGCATGGAAACAACCACCACCACCACCACAGTGTTCTATGACCCTTCCGGGGAAGTGGCAGAGCCCACCATGTAACAGAACAAACCTGAGCCTCAGTTTCCTTATTTGGAAGTTATCCCTGAGCTGTGCTAATCGAGATAACATATCTGGCACAGAACAGTGTTCACATAAACAAATAACGGGCAGTAAGAGGCACTCTGTCTCTGGGTCATGGGGGTCATGGGGTCATGGGGTCTTGGGTGAATTTCTCTTTCTCCTTATATCTCTTAAGAGGCACCTTAGAGTGTGTGCATGTGTGCAGTTATGTTGCCTTTTTTTATATGTATGAGCACATGCCTGAGTGTTTGTATATACATCATGTGTGTGTGGTGACAGCCAGAAGAGGGTATCAGACCACCAGGGGATTAGGGTTACAGGCAGTTATGAATCACTGTGGTGCTGGGAACTGAACCTGGTCCCCTGCAGTAGCACTGAGTGCTCTTAACCACTGAGCCATCTCTTCAGCCTCGGCCACATTTACAGTTCGAAAGAGCAATAAGACAGTTTCTGGGGTGATGTGGGGGAGGCTTCTGGCTCCTTAAGTATTTCTTTCCTTCCATGGGAAAAGCAAGTTGATGCTGGTTCATCTGAGTAAAGAGACAGTGGGGGAGTAAAGAGGCTTTAGAGACCCTCCCAGGGTGGCCAGTGGTTACTAACGATCTGTGTGGTGTTTTCTTTCTTATCTCCCCCAAAGCTAAGTTTTGGGGGGGCCGGGGGGGCTAATAAAAATAAGAAGAGGAACATGGTGTGGTGGCACACACCTTTAGCCCCAGCACTCAGGAGGTAGAGGCAGGCAGATCTCTGTGACTTTGAGGCCAACCTGATCCACATAGGAAGTTCCTGGCCAGCCAGAGCTACATGGTAAAACTGCTTCAAAATAAAAAAATAAAAAAAAATCAAAAGAGAGGAAAAAAAAAGAAAAGAAAAGAAATTGTGGCATAGCCCAGTAACAGAGCACTTATCCAGCATGTGAGGTTCTAGGTGTGATCCCCAAGCACTGAATGAAAGGTTTCAAATAACAGCAAATAAACGGATGTTAAGCCACCATGACTTAATATTAAGAATGCACAGCGATTAAGGGATGATGTAATGTACAACCCTGAGAGGTCCCTGGGAAAACTTGGCTTGGGGAGAGAGGAACCCCAGGACTGACCAATGGATACCTCACAACAGCCAGTGTCCGATGTACCCTGTGAACCCCAGACTTCTGAAGAGGCAATATAATTGCTTTAAAATTCTCAGCCCAGAGTAGAGAAAAACTCAGTACCCTTCATTGTCCCCCGCTTCTCGTACCCCACTGACTAAAGCCTACAAAGCAAATCCCAAAGATGACGTCAAGGCAGGGCTGTCAAATGGAGCAATAAAAATACAGGACATCCAGTTACATTTTAATTTTAAGATAAACAAAACAAAAAGTTTAGTAGTGTACCGCCTATGACAGTATTTGGAACATGCTCATACCAGAAAAAAGAAGTTGTTTATCTAAAATTCGAATGAACCAGGCTTTATTTCATCCAGCAACACAAGCCTGGGAAGCACAGTCGTCTTTGGGGGCTGTGCCTTCACTGCCTCAGAACTTGAGCCAAGTCAGAAGGGGCCTAGAGGCTGCACACACCTTTAGGCCTGGTGGAAGTGTGTGCCCTGCCCTGCGTCTTCCTGCAGGGTCTAGCTGTCACACTGCTGCGGGCAGGCCCAGGGTGCACTTCCCCGCTTAGGTAAGAATCTGGGTTCTGAGAAGGAAAGTGCCCAGCCCTGGAGCTCCCAGTCTTCAAGGCTGGATGTGTCACTAGCTCTCAGCCCTGGCTGTACCCTGAGTCCCCTGGGAGACCTGGAAAGTCTCTGCATAGGCTGCACCAAAGCCAGTGACAACACGTCTGGCTCCCAGCACCAGGCTTACCCAAGGCTCTCAGGTGGTACAGCCTGCCGCCAGGACTGTAATTCCTGGGTGCTTGCCCTTCCCTTCCCTTCCCGCCCCCTCCCTCCTAGCCATCCTGCCACCTTGAGATGGAATTACTTTAGATTTCATTTCCCCGTTTGTATTTGTCACACGTGCCTGGCCTGTCTCATCAATTAGTGCACCCCAGGACAGCTTGCAGACAAGGAAAGTGAGGCTCACGTCTGCTAAGGTACGCTGGCATTCCAGCTGTCCTCTTCCCCCAGAACATTGCAGGGTCCTCAGGAATGGCTGAAGGACATCCATCCCTCTTTCCAGTGGTCCCCATCCTTTCTCTGCCCAGTGCTGGTCAAATTAAACAAATATCACACTAAAGCCATGGCAGCGAAGGCTAGACAGTCTGAAATATTTGGCTGCTTCAGTATTACTTAAGTGGAAAAAAGACACCGCGCCTTGCAGCACTGGTAAAGGGCAGTTCGGGGGGGGGGCTCTTCACCTCTTGCTCTGCTGTCATTCTGCAGACTTCCTACTCAGCAGGCCACTCACCTGCTGTGACAATCCTGCATCCTGCCAGCTGCTTTTCTAGGTCTCAAGACTTACTGGCCTCATCCACCCAATAGGGTTCAAACCCCATCTCGACTTGTGGCCATAGGCAGGGGGTGTGGTAATAGTGACTGGCCAGGTTGAAGGACCCCTCAACTCCTCAGGTCATAGCTGTGAGGGTGGGCTCTTCTTTGCAAGGGGAAATCTGGCTGTGGGTACGGAAGCCAGAGCAGCAGTCCTGTCTGGGTCTTGCAAGCCACCATGTACCTGACAGGAAAGGCTACATACCCTCTGCTGAGACAGAAGGCCCTAGACTCTATGCTAGCTGCACTCACTTTCTTAAGTTGTGAATTACAGCATACATAGACACATGTAAAAACAGTACATACAGGGCTCCCAAGCAGTTAAGGGCACTGGCTGCTCTTCCAGAGGACCCAGATTCTACTCTAGCATCCACATGGTGGCTCACAAACATCTGTAACTCCAGTTTCAGGGGATCCAGTGCCCTCTTTTGGCTTCTTTGGGCAGCAAGCATGCAAGTGGTACACGTACATATATGTAGGCAAAACACACATAAACATAAAAATAACAAAAATGTTTTATAAGTATATATAAATGTATTTTAAATATATGTATATAGCCGGGCGGTGGTGGCGCACGCCTTTAATCCCAGCACTCGGGAGGCAGAGGCAGGCGGATCTCTGTGAGTTCGAGGCCAGGCTGGACCGACAGCCTCCAAAACAATACAGAGAAACCTTGTCTTGTAAAACCAAAAATATATATATATGTATATATACATATACATACATATGTACATACATACATATTTATTTTAGAGTTACCCAGAGTACGGAAATGTGTGTATGTGTGTATAATATAACATGAAGAGAGATATGTGTATATAGATAGAGATATAGATGTATGTATGTATGTATGTATGTATAAACAATTGTAGACTTGAACAATCTCTCATTAAGCAAGACCATTTCTCCTTACCTACTGATCTGAGGACATCATCAGCCCTTGAAAGCCATCTCTAAACTGTTGGTTTCCATGTTAGTTGCTCTTCTGTCTGCTGTAACAGAATACCCAAAGCTTTGTTGTGACGTCTATTTGGGATGTTGTGCAGGTTGAAGGAGCAGATTAGGCTGCCTCCCTGGTCTGGCCTCTGGTGGGGCCTCTGGGAGTTGCCATCACAGTATGGGTACAAGTGAAAGAGATCACATAGTGAGACAGAAGCTGGAGAGAACCGGGGGTCAGGCCTGTCCTCACAACCCATTCTCACAGGACAGACTTCACCCCAGCCCAGTGTTCACCCTTGGGGACCAGCACTTCCTATGGCATGCGCTCAGCCCCATCTCTCAGAACTTGTGCTACCTTTTACTCATCCAGGACCTAGCTCCCAACACAGGAACCCCAGGGGACTTAGCAAGCCAAAGCTCCCAAAAGCACACCCTGCCCGCTGCCTCCCTGCCTTTCTGACACGCAGCCTTGCGCTGAGTGACTCTCCCCTACCCCTTATTCTTCCAGTACCCTACTGCCAGGGAAAGGCACCGCCCACTCACTCCAGACGCTGGCACCCACACTCCCTCTTCCCTTCCCATTCTGTCATGTGTCCTGCCATGCCTGTCCCCGGGGTCATTGTACAGAAGAGCCCTGAATCTAGACAAGACAGCTTGGGTTGTGTACCAGATCCTGCCCCCTGCACCCTGTGCCTCGGCTCCCATCTTTGCCACACGGAAGCAGTGATAGTTCATACCTGTCAGTTGCAGCATTAAGTGAGACACATGAGCTCAGGTCAACCTGCCACATGCTAGGGCCCCAGTATAGGGTTAGCTCTTTACCCTGATGATGCTCTCGGGAAACAACAAAGGCTCTTCAAATGCCCAGTTGTGCAAATGTATGAAAACCTGTGGGGAAAGACAGACAGGAACAAAAAGAGGGAGGCAAGAAGCTGGGCTTGGTGCTTGGACCCCAGGGCTTGGGAGACTTACGATGGAAGATCACAAGTTCAAGAACAGCCTGGAAAGGAGGGGAGAAAAGAGGAGGTGAGGTGGAGAGGAAGAGAAGGCCCTCAAAACAATGGGAGGCCAGGCACACAAGGATGGAGCTCAGGCAGTACTCAATCCAGTCTGACCACCTGCAGGCCTAAGGGCAGGGGGCCCTGGGCTCCAGAGTTCAAGGTCATGAGGATCTGGAGTGAGGTCCAAGGGAACTGGGAGCCAGACAAATCTGGGGTCCAGGGTATTAGGTCTAGGAGTTCAAGGATGGGGCTTGAAGTGCGGGGTGGGATCTGGAGGAGATGAGGTCTGGGGTTGGCGGGTGCTACCTAAGGTCCAGATTCTGAGGTTTGGGGGTTAAGGAGTGGAGTCGGAGGGAACCTGGGGTTCAGTTCTGGGGGAAACTGCAGTCTAGGGCTCTAGGTCTAGGACTTTAGGGATTGGGTCTGAGGTCTGGGGGTCATGGGATCCAGGGTCTGAACCCTGGGGTGCGAGGTGCCAGCAGGTCTCCTGAGATGCTTCTCCTCTGCCCCACAGAGAGCACCTTCGCGGACACACTGACACCCCTGCGCCTGGGCCAGGCCCGCCTCAGCGCCTGTCCCCCTCCTGGCAGCCACGACACCGCCAACTTTGACAACAATGAGCTGGAGAACAACCAGGTGGTGGCCAAGCTGGGTCATCTGACTCTCGGCCGTCCGGACGCCGCCGTCCCGTGCGTGGCCCGCGAACGCGCGCGACCCGCCTCGTCACCCGCGCTGCTGGACGCCGAGCTGCGCTTCCACGCCACACGCGGCCCCGACGTGAGCCTGTCTGCCGATCGCAGGCTGGCCTGCGCGCCCCGACCGGACGGCGGTCGCACGCTGGTGTTCTCCGAGCGGCCGCTGCGGCCCGGCGAGAGCCTGTGCGTGGAGGTGGGCCGGCCGGGCCTGGCGGCACCCGCGGCTGTGGCCTTCGGCATCACGTCGTGCGATCCTGGCGCGCTGCGGCCATCCGAGCTGCCCGCCGACCCTGCGGCGCTGCTGGACCGCAAGGAATACTGGGTGGTGGCGCGTGCCGGGCCGGTCCCCAGCGGCGGCGACGCACTCAGCTTCACCCTGCGGCCGGGCGGCGACATACTACTGGCGGTGAACGGGCGCCCGCGGGGACGCCTGCTGTGCGTGGACACCTCGCAGGCGCTCTGGGCTTTCTTCGCGGTGCGCGGCGGAGCGGCGGGCCAGCTGCGCCTTCTGGGTGAGTGGCCCAAGGCCCCAACAAACGCTCCCTCTTGTACCCAGCTTCTGTCAGAGCTTGGCTGGACAGCGGGTATAGTTTTTATATCCCTTATGATTATGTTTTTAAAAGCCGCATAATGCATATTAATTATGTGTGCGAGAGGTGGGGGAGGAGAATTCACTCATATATTCAAGACAATAGGCACCCAACACGTGCAGAGAGCTGAGGGAAGGCGTGAGCCTTTCTGGTTTGTTTTTGTTTTCGAGACAGAGTTTCTCTGTGTAGCTTTGGAGCCTGTCGTGGTACTCACTCTGTAGACCGGGCTGGCCTCGAACTCACAGAGATCCACCTGCCTTTGCCTCCCGAGTGCTGGGATTAAAGGCGTGTGCCACTGATGACTGGAGAGCCATTCTGTTTTAAAGATGATTCTTGCCTTTGCTGCCTGCCAGCAAAGGACAGGGTAGCCACCTACTGTATGTGAGATCGTTGCACAGTATGACATTAGCTGCAGTAGAGGGGGCACCTTCTAAGTTTGGGGGAGCAAAGGGTCCAGAGAGCACAGTGTCATCCTCACAGCCCAACTCAGCAGACACAGCCACCATGCCTCCATGTTGCCCCGATGCTCCCAGCCACCTGTGAACCCACATAATTACCCCCGTCTACACACAGGACTACAGAAAGGCAGACCTCACAATCCAAGGGTCACATAGCCCTGAAGTGCTGGGCAGACATCATTCTCCTGGGTCTCGGTATCCTGGGTGGTGAGGTTGTCGTGGGGTGAAATGATGGGCTGCTTTTCATGTCCCCAGCTGGTGTCTGGCATAGAGTGTCACAGCCATATAGCTACAACCTGGGTGTCTGAAGGAGAGTGGAGGAGGAGCATGGTGTCTGTGGTTGTTGGCCAGGATTATTTTGTTTGTATTCTGTTGTTGTTGAATCACCCATGTAGTATTACAGCCTGAGACAAGTTGCCCAAGTTCCTGCTATGTCAGCTGGCCTTCCATCAAGCCAGAGTTATGCAGGCATCACTCTTCTTCATAAGGAGGGACATAGTTTCTGAATTAGCACTGAGCTTGGGCAGAGAGAAATACTCACAGCCAGGGATCCTGTAGCTCTGACAAAATGCCATTCTAAGTGCCCCAAGCCACAAAGGGTAGTACTCCTCAGAAGTGGGGGCGGCTGTTGGATGGATTCGGGAAAGCCGGGGCTAGATAATGAATACATGTCATCAGGACAAGGCCTGTGCTGCCCCCACTCAGTTAGGCCTCTGCCACAGAGGGGCTCCCCGTGCCAGGCTGCCTTCTCAGTGGTATGAGCCTTCCCTTTCCCAACAGTTCTAATGGCAGTGGCAGGGTGGCCTTGCTTGGGTTATGTGTCCTTCCTTGAATCACAGTGGGCTTGAAGGATGGAAAGGTCTGTGTCCTGGCCTGGCATCCTAAGGCCATTTCTGAATTAGGAGTAGAGTTATATCCATTCCACTGTGAATGGGCCCAAGTAGGAATGGAGGCTGGGTGGGTAAAACACAGACATCCACCACACTGATGGAACCCTCCAGTCACTCTGATCGGCTCCCTAGACAGAAGGGCTGCAGAGCGACGAGGAACAGGGACTGGCAGGGCCTGTGCCACCCTCACACCCCTAACAGAGTCTCTTTGGCTCCCAGGTACCCTGCAGTCCGGTCCGGAGACCACAACTCCATCGGGGTCCTTCAGCGGCTCCCAGGATGACAGTGATTCAGAAATGACCTTCGGTGTCAACCAGTCTTCCTCAGCATCAGAGTCATCTCTGGGTAAGAAAATGCAAACCCCCCAGGGGACAGGGTTCCTGACAGCATGGGTCCTTTGGCTGTGGCAGTGGCCTTGGCCTTTGCTACCTGAGCAGGCCTGCTGTATTTTCCCTTGCATCTGCTCCTGCCTTCTGCCGTGCTCAGCGCGAGCATAACTATGGAGATTCAGAGGCCAAAGGCTGCTGAGGAAGGCAGCTTACCTTGTGCTTTTGGGGACAGCAATATCAAAAAATGTCAAGAGTGAACAAAGACGGGGCTCTCGCCACACTGTGCCCCATTTCCACCATGGGAACACCGTGTTCTTGGAATTGCCCCGCGGAGCCCTCCTGAGAGCCATTAATGATGTCCTCTCTCCCTTCTGACAGTGACAGCCCCCAGCTCCCCACTGAGTCCCCCAGTGTCCCCAGTCTTCTCTGCACCTGAACCAGCAGGCAGCAGGAATGGAGAGTGTACAGTGTGCTTCGACAGCGAGGTGGACACGGTCATCTACACGTGTGGACACATGTGCCTCTGTCACAGCTGCGGCCTGCGGCTCCAAAGGCAGGCACGGGCCTGCTGTCCCATCTGCCGGCGGCCCATCAAGGATGTCATCAAGATCTACAGGCCGTAGCTATGCAGCGGGCTTGGTCTAGGCGAGGTCACCTTTCTGAAGCCCCTGTTAGGTGGGCGACACCATGGCTATCAGGGAGCCCAAGGTCAGGAGCCATCTCTCATCTGCCACTCGCAGTGATGAGCAAGGCAGGACAGGTGTGGAGGTGGGGTCCTGGGGGCCAGAGCCCAGGCAGACATTGCTTCTGGCTCAAACACATGTTGCCCCCAAAAGCCTGTCCCAAGATTCAGCTCAGGAACTGCCTAGCAGATCACCTGCCTCTCCTCGGTGACCTTCAGCTGGGAAAGGGTGCCCTCTGTCTGTGCAATGCTTGTTTGGGGTGGGGTTGAGTGTGTGTGCGTGCGTCGGGGTGGGGGGAGACAGCCCAGAGAATGAGTGAGAGAGAATGAGTGAGAGCGCGTGCGTGGAAGTCTTATGCAGGGATCCGTCGTCTCCGGGAGGGTATTTAACACTAAGGAATGTGCAATCCGGGCCCAGAGGTTAATGTGACGGATGTCCACTTTCTGGGGATGTGGTTTTCTGCGACGAGCTAGCTTTGAACACAGGATGCCTGAACCTACACAGAACTCCTTCAATGGCATAGAAAGAAGCACTCACATTTTCTAAGGGAAAGCAAAAATAGCTCACTGTTTACAGCTCCAAGCAGCAGCTCCTGCTGAGGGGGAAGGTGGGCGGGGACATCAGAGCACAGGTGGCTTTCACTGCTTCCTCAGAGGGGGAGTCTTCCCCGTGGCAGCCCAGGACAGGTGTCCCCGGCTCTAGCACCCTGGATTGTTTCATCCCCACCCAGCAAAACAGCGAGCTCCTTGCCCCTCACCATCCCTACCTGCTCTGGAGTCTTGTAATGCCCCTCCTGTGTTCTGGGGCAACTCCATAACTCCCCTGGTATAATTAAGGTGAGCTGTGGGCATGTCCCAATGGCCAGCTGGCAGAAGTTAGAAGACCCGGCTCCCTATCTGGACCTCGTCCCGATCCTTTCTTTCTCCTGTTGACTCTTACAGTGTGAACTAATATGCTTGTCAGATACCTGTGAAGCACTGACTGAGACGCTCCCCACTCCTGGGTCTGTTGGCTGCCATTTCCCAGGACCTGCCCCTCGCTGGGCCAGCCCTGTTTCTGTAGGCTCCCAGAGCTTGAGAGACAGCTTGTGAGGGGCAACTTTTTCTCACAGCTCCGAATCTGGCCATCTCTTGCTGTGAGGGAAGAAGAGGGGCGGAGAAACATTCAAGAAGTGAGGTTCATGGAACGCGCTCTGACAGGAGTCACGGACCCACCTGACAGCGGCCCAAGCCACAGGCAGTGTGCCTGGGTGGTTGGAGCCCCCCCCGCACTGCTTCTCTGTCTGGGAGTGTCTGCATCTAGCCCATCTAGCCCAATCACAGCTTGCCCCTTCCTGTCCCCAGCAAGAGCCTCTGAGAGCTGGCTTTTCCTTAGGGACTGCAGGTCACATGTCCCCCCTTTCACTCTGCAGCTGTGGTTTTTCTTTTTCCCCAAGAAAGGGTTTCTCTGTACATCCCTGGGTGTCCTGGAACTCGTTCTGTAGATCAGGCTGGCCTCGAACTCATAGAGATCTGCCTGCCTCTGCCTCCCCACAGTTGGAACGACCACTACCTGCATGCAGTTATATCTTTTAAAGAGCCACAGGAACCCTTGCTTGCCTGGGTGAGAGCCAGAGAATCAGGTGCGTTGAGTACCCAGCCCAATGTATTCAGCCAAGTTTTTGAGTTCTCCGTGTGCTGGGCATGGGCAGAGGCACCCTGTCACCAGGGATGGTACCTGGGTTTCCAGGCAGCCATGGCCCTGCCTGATCACAGCCTCTAATGCCCCAGTCTCAGTGGCCTGGGAGAGCCTGCTCTGCTGTGCCTCTCGCTTTCCCAGCTGGACCCTGGCGTTGCAGCAGGGGTCACCCACAGCCACCACCAGGAAATCAGGAGCTGAGGTCCTAGACGCAGGGGTGGACCCAGCATGCTGCTGGTGACCTGTCACCAAGGCAGAAAGGCACCACAGGCCTGTTTAACCTGCTCTGCAGGCACTATAAACAGCTGCCTTGTTTCCCACAGAGCAGTAGGGGCTGTTTCTCTCCTAAAAGCCAGGCATTTGCCAGTGCTCTGAAATGGAGGCTGTGTGTGCATCATCTCAACAAGGGGCAGGAGGGCAAGGAAGCCAGTGCCCTCCATTCACACCTCACACATGGCTGCACAGTGAGTTAAGGGACGCCTGGGACAGGACCCTGTGTACAGGTTTTGGTGCCATCTGAGACCCAGCTCTTTAGGAGGCATGGCATCTTACGAGTAACTGTGAAAGCCACATTCACCTTAGACACAGGGTGCTGGGATGCAGCTTCCTGGTCCAAGACGTTCAGCTGCAGGAAATGGGTCCTCAGGACCTAGAAAACACAATATTGTCCTCATTTGGTGGGGGAGATCCGAGGTCCTGTGAGAATCTTAAGGCTCAAATAGCAGGAGGTGGTGGGGGCTAGGATTCCAGCCCCTACATGTAGTCCTGGCCAGCTTCCCCACGTCTCAGGAAGCTCAGCACTGCCCACGTCTTCTTTCCTGGAAGCTCAGCTGGGGAGCCCGGGCACCCGCATCTGTGTAGAAGGTTCTGGGCCACAGTCACTCTACTGCCCACACTCTAGAGGGGACAAGTGTCCTCTAAGGCCCATGCATTCGGTGCCATGTGTCATCTGTCATGTGGGGCTGCTCTGGAGAGGGACCTCAGAGTACCACTTTCTGGGATCTTGTGGCCACTCCCCTCTCGGGCAGCACCCCACCCCATTTTCCAAGCTCACTGATGATTTAGTGCCCTGTGGGACTCCAAAAGCCAACAGTAGGATGGGGGATGCCAGGTGACACCCCCTCACTCACGGCAGCCAGCTGGAACTTCCTGGAAAATGGTTGTTTTCCAACCAAATTGGGCTCCTCCTCCTACTGCACCCCCAGAGCTGCCTTGGGGTTGACTTCTTGGGCAGCTCTCCCTCAAAGGCTGTGTGACTTGTTCAGCATCCACTTACCAGCAGAGCCTGGGAGCAGCTCTCAGACCAGAGGCCAGAGGTCACATTATAAACTGACTTGATCACTCTGGAGTTGGGGCTTGTGCTAGCACATAGTAGGTACTTAATAAAAGACTGAAAGTCATGCCAGGAGCCAGGCTATGAGTAGTTAGGAGTTTACTGAAATAGCATCACATCACATACGTATGGACACAAAGTCTTTCAACAAACATTTGCTGAGTGCTCTTAGGATACGAACTGCTCTGAGTAGGGAACAGTGAGGGTGTGCCCAGCTCTGATGCCAGAGTGATATCATTAGCAGGGTAAGACAGGGCAGAACACGTGGGCTTTCTTGACCGTTCTGTTGCCTTGGGTCCACAAAGCTTCCCACACCCACATTAGGGATGTGGGGTCCCTTGTGATAAGTGAGCTCTTGCCAAACAGCCAGGACCACCAGGTAATGACCACCTTCAGGTCCTGCAAGAAGATTCTGGGGAGACATCTTCCTGCTTCTTCCAGGCACCAGGGGCCACAAGAGCCCCGAGTTCCGGCGGAGAGTGGCGTTGTGCAGCCTTGGAGCGTGGGGAGCAGTAACTGCTGCACTGTCCACCCCACCCTGGCTGGGGACACGGCTCAGGAACACACAGCCTCCCAGCATTTCTCAATATTTTAGTGTCTCACTGTCTCAGCCGAGTCCCTAATGGAACTACCCATATGACAATCTGTCTGTGCCTTATGGAGGTATGTGTGTGCGTGCACTTTTTATCCTTTAAAATGCAACCCTTCAAAGTGGACAAGAAGCCAGCAGAGGTGGTAGGGTCCAGGTGCCGGCAGGGAGTCCCTGAGACCCTCCTGCAGTTTGCTGTTGGACTTAGAGTGTTCGTCCCCACCCGACTCCCACTACCTGTGTACAGATCCTTGGAACATGTCTGTCCTATCTGATTCAATACTGTGACTCTCCAGTCCTGTCTAGTGTTTGGGGAACTGTACTAAAAGCCCGAGAGCTTGGGGAGTGAGCGGGGAAGGGTTTGCGCTGGTCTTTGTGTGTTGTGTGTTCTGATATTTGTCTGTTTTTATCTGTTTTATATTAACATAACTTTCCTGTTTGAAAAACAAATACAACTCTGGCTTGATTTAAAAAAAAAAGTCTCATCAGAATTTGTGTGTTTTTTTAATTGTGCTGAATGTTGTGTTGGTGAGTGAAGGGAGAGGTCCAAATCCTGCCAGCCTTTATCACAGGTGACACCATGTCGGAAGAGCCTGGGCAGTCCTTAGCTCTTACACCGTGTCACTGCACAGCTGCAGAAGAAATACTTTCCCTGAGGGTGAGCGCTGATCACGGTGATTTGGGCAGCAGCATTGGTTAGTGTGGCAGGAAACCAAGCCCCCGAAGTGTGCAGTGAATGGTGCTGCCCTCACTTTGTAAGTAACAAACTACCTAGGGTGGGAAGACCAGAACACAGCCTCTGCCGCTGAGTAGATTGCTCTGCATCCCATCCTCCTTTGTTCTCCCTCCCCCCACCGTCCCTCCCTCCCTCCCTCCCTCCCTCCCTCCCTCCCTCCCTCCCCAGGTAGGTTCTCAAAACCACTTGACTGCTCAGCCTGCATCCTGCCTTCCTTCATCCCTTAGTGGACTAACCTGTATGGTGTCCCTTCTTGAACCAATCCCTAACACCAGGGTGATGTGGGCCCTGGTTGGCCAGACCCAGGACATGCATTGGCCTTTTCCTGGGAATATCACAGCAGTGAAACAGTGCCTGGACAGACAAACTGACAAACATCTCTGTAGGGATGGCTGAATGAGCCATGTGATGCTACTATGAACCTGTAGGGTGAAACCAGGGCGGCCTGACCCTGGTACCCTGGTTAGGCCTCTGTACATCAAGAGTCACTTGATTTCAGGGTGGGTGTGACTACTGTTGTGGTCATGCTTGGAGATGCTCTGGACACTGGTGTCCAGCACTCACAACAGGCAACACATGTTAGGTGTTTACACCACAGGAGCGTGTCAATGTTAACAAGACATGGGGACAGAAGCTTGGAGGACCGAAGCCAGTTCAAGGCCACCCTGATCTACATAACAAGTTCCAGATCAGCCAGGGGAAAACAGGGTCTAAAACCACACACACAGTCTGACTTGATAGATGTGGGGAAGCAGCTGGTCGTGTTTCACAACCGCCACAGAAAAGTAGCCAGAGAGGGCTGCCCTGGGCGATCATCTCAGGTGACTGCCTAGGGTCCCATCTTTTTTTCTCTTTCTCTTTTCTTTTCTCCCCCTCCCTCCCTCCCTCCCTGTCATTTCACTATGTAGATAAGGCTGGCCCCAAACTCAGAGATCCACCTGCCTCTGCCTCCTGAGTGCTGGGATTAAAGGCGTGCACCAGCACTACCCAACTGGTTCTAACCTATTCTATAGCAAACAGGTTCATTTAAGCTTGAAGTTAGAGTGAAAAATACCTCCCTGTTCTGCAAAACCCACAAAGAGCAGCTGACCCCAGCTGAAATTGGTTGGAATTCCCAGGCAGCCAATGTGAGTTTAGGATCTGCATTTAGTCATGATGAGATAAGGTCAGGCTGGCTGGCTCACTTGGGCTTCCTGTAGTCCAGTGTTTAGGGCCCTGCTGACTGGGGTGGGCTTGCAGCAGCTCCAGGAATGAAAGGGGGAAGATGAGAGAAGTACATAGGTCTGCTCTTCCCAAGCTGTCAGAACATCCCAGCTGGACCACTGCATTAGGAACAATGGGGCAAGAGAAATGCACCAGCCTTTAGCTAGCCACAGAAGCCACAATACCCACAGCATGTCTGCAAGGCCTCTTCAAGGTTCTCATTCACAGAGGAAGAAGTAAATCTTGTCAAAGCAAAACCATTCACAGTTGTGTTTGCTCTCCTTTCAGAACTCAGGCCTCTCCTTCCCCCACGATACCACTGGGGGCTGGGGGACTTTTTCATGAATACCATCTAGTAACCAGGACTTTTTTAGTTTTGGTTTTTCAAGACAGGGTTTCTCTGTGTAGCTCTGTAAACCAGGCTGGCCTTGAACACACAGAGATCTGCCTGCCTCTGCCTCCCAAGTGCTGGGATTAAAGGCATGTGCCGCCGCCACCTGGCTAACCAGGGCTTTTTTAAATAAAGAAAAATGATCATATTAACCTGGGTTCTTTGGAAGTAGAATACATCGTGCTGTCTTATAGGTAGGTAGATAGATAGATAGATAGATAGATAGATAGATAGATAGATAGATAGATGATAGATGATGGATGGAAGAAAAAGAGGGAAAATTTATTGATTTAACATACTGAACCTGTTGGCTCTAGGTAGCTTCAGGGACA